AACAAGTCAACCACCAAAGTCCTGATATTCCAAGAAGACAATTCACAAGGATCAACATGTCACTATATGAAGCCCTACAACACCTGTTGAAGGCTAACTTGGTAACATTGCGTGACCCCCCTTCAAATCCCAATGTTTCATCACCAAAGTACAACTCGAACGCCAAATACGCTTATCACTCCAATAGCCTTGGGCATGATACTAACCATTGTCAGGCGTTAAAACGCATAATCCAATACCTCATTGACAATAAGACCATTGAGTTTGATCCTCCTACAGCTTCGAATGTAATCACTCCACCAATGCTAAATCACGACAAAGGTGTAAATGCAATTGAAGATACTGCTTTTGTTTCCTCTGTTAAAGATTTAACTACTCCACTGACCATTGTTAAAGAAAATTTACTAAAAGCTGGGATCTTCCTTGGTTGTCTTGAAGACTGTCATTGTTGTGCCAAACAAGTTAATGGATGCGAATGGCTGAAAAGGGGTGTCCAACACCTAATAGATAGCCATGAGATTTTATTTGAAAGAACTCCGTCCGTAAAAGGTTTGACTGGAGTTATACCTCAAAAATCTAAAGAAATATCCATCACAAATCCAACAAACCTATTAGGATCACTTCAAAAGGTCCTATTAGGATTTCTAATGAATCAAAGATTGATGCACTGATAATTGCCACATTGGGGCCAATCCCTTATTCTTTTGATAAAGCGGTACCCTGGAATTATGGGGTTGAAGTATACTACCATGGAATTAAACAAGACTCTTGGATTGATGAAGACAAGACTAATGACATTACCAACATTGCTGGCTCTAGTAAGGTAACAAGGACGGGGAGAATCTTCTCTCCTAATATTTCACCTCCAACCATCACAGCTACACATGTTCGTATTACTGTTGATAAACATTATGTTTTGTCCAAACAGACTCAAACCATTTCTGGGCCTAAGCCCATACTATTCACACCCCTCTCTCTTTTTATTTTATTACTCAAAAGTAATTTACACCCTCCCTGCGCTATTGGGCCAACTCTAATATCTGGATTTTGACCCATGCTATTCACCCCCCCATATTTTGCTAGTCAATGTAATTGGCACCCCCCTGCATTTCTTTTCAATTAATTTTATTTATTTATTATTTTCGTTGTTATATTTTTATTTTATAATATATTACATAATTTTTTTTATTAATTATAATATTTTTTAAATATATTTTTAGTAAACTTATTTATATATTTATTCTTTCTAACTAAACTATTTTCTAAAATACTAACTCCCTTTTATATCTATATTAAACATTTTTTTTTCAAATTTATTTTCATATTGTATCATATAATCAAAAATAGCCAACTAAAAAATACTAACCTTTTTTACTAATATAATCAGACTTATATTATTTTCAAAAAGGGTTGTACAAATATCTTGTATCGACTGCGAGCTACATCCATGATTCCGCAATTTACAAACCCAGACTTGGTTCAAGAAGAATTCGAGATATTTCTACAACCCATAAAAAACATCAACTCACTACGAACTACAGATTGAGACTCCGATACCTCCTAAGAGGATACGTAGGCATACGCTTAAAATCGTGGTGAGTTCCCATAATAAAAATTAAAACCCTTTTTCCCATATTAAAAATTAAAACCCTTTTTCCTAAAAACGCGCTTCTAAACCTAGTATCCTTGTGAACAAGGTAAGTGGAGGGTGCCTAACACCTTCCCTTCATCTAGAACCGAGTCAAACCTAAAATCTTTGAGCTTTTAGGGTTATTCCTCTATACTCCATTCCTTTAGGATAAAAATTAAGGGTAGCGACTCTGTATTTAAAACTATTTACAACACCATATAGAGTTTGCATTTTTCCAATAAAAGATGAAGAATTTATGAATTTTCAAAGTTTAGTACTATGAACACTTAGAAAAATTCAAAATTCCAAATAACATCCTTGACAAATTATCTTCAATTCACCATTTTATCTTCATGTTATGCCACCATTAATCATGGAATATGAAAATAGGAACATTGAATTGATGGTTTACCAAAAGCCCCATTGGTCAGCACTTAACTTTTGTTGACTTTTGCTTAGATGACTGTTTTACCCCCAATTGATCAATTGGACCACTTCCAATCAAAATTGATGCTCAATCATTCAATAATAGGGGGTTATTAAGATGTAGAGAAGCATGGAATCAAGTCTTTCCCAAAAAGTTAGAGATTTTCTGATTAATTCAAAAACCCTAATTTTGGCCCTGTGCTAGGAGATGATGATCAAGCTTCAAAACCCCAATTCTTCTGGACATGTTGAGAAATTATTTGAACAAAAATGTTTCATATGAAGGTGAGAAGATGATGCTTCACAAATTTGGCTTGTTCAAGTATCAAACTCTTCAATTGACCAAAACCCTAATCTCAAGAGATACAGAGGAGAAAAGTGACTCAAGGATCAATACTTGTAATTCTAAACTTCTGATGAATCAAAGAGACAATTAAGATGTCTTGAAGTATGAGAATCACTTAAATCTTGAGTGACTCAAAGATTGAGGGCAGGAGACCTTTCTTTCACTGATTGTCAACACAATTAACTTCAATAGCTTGCAGGAGAATTTGGGAACCAAGATACCTTGATCCTATCACAATGTATGAATGCATATGATGAAACTTAAGCCATTAAAATTCTAAAGTCAATAGGGTAAATTTTGGGGTACAACAAACGTCAAAATAAGAAAAATAATATAAGTCATTCTCATCATGAACACGTTGATAAATTGTATTATTCCGATTTACAAGTAGCTTTTGAAAATCTACATATGGAAGCAGTACATTCTGTTTAAAAGTTATTTTCACACAAAAAGATATTTTCACGCTTAGAAACTAAGGTTTTAGAAACTGAAAAGCAAATGGAAGCTCTAAAGCAATCTATGGTAGATGTTCAAAAAGTTAAGAATAAGGATGAAAAACCATCATGGTTCGGTTGTGAAACTTGTCACATTTGGCAAAAAGAGACTAATACTCCTGAAGCTAAATTGGACAAGGCATTATAATCAAAAGTTACATTTGCTATTGATCCCTCAATGCTTAAAAATTCTTTAAATAAACCATACAAAAAGTATAGCTTTGTTAAAAAAAAATCCAAATAGCAAAAGTAAATCTCTTCATAATTTGACTTGTCACTATTGTTGCAAGAGAGGTCATACTATCGAAAAATGAAAATTTAAGAGTTTGTTGGTTCCTAAAGTTGTTTTTCAACGGTTGCTTAAATGCAACCAAGGTTTCACTAACATTCAAGGACCGAATGAAGATTGGGTACCTAATATTTCTTGTTTATCTTGCAAGAAAAATATCTTGGCACTATAAAGAGAATATGGGTTCTCTTTTGAGGAAGCTCAAGACACATGATGTGTGTCATCTCCCTATTTCATTGACTTTGTGGCAATGAACAAGGACAATGTGACCTAGGAAGACAACAACCAATATTCTTTAATTGGTAAAGATAATATAGATAAATCCTTCTTCTACTATTATCTCTATTGTTACTTATTGTTGAAGAGTTTGTGCTTGTCATTTGTAATGAATCTCATCCTAGATAAGTCAGGAAATGTATTTCTTTTCATGATGTTGGAATATCTTAAGAAGACATACTCAAAGACGCCAAAGAAGGAACTTATCAGCCTAAAATGGTGAAACACAAAGAGGAGTAAGATGATCCTAGATATGAGAATGATCCAATTTGGTTGAATTTCACCTTACCATCAAATTTTCACCAGTCTTCAATTCAATATGGTTGAATTTCACCTTATCATCAGTATCAATCATTGGTGCAAGAAACTCGATCTTATTCACCTTTCTGTTCTCAGTGTCGGGTAATATATTATCCAATTTGGATCTCATAAAAGCGAGATAGGTAGTGTCCACCAGGAGCCAAAAATCAACAGGAGATTTTACCCCTTTGAAGTACACATATGCCTTATACAAATACCGAGACACTTAAAATATTTGTTTCAATAACACACATTCCTTATTTTTGTCCAAGACTATCGATAATATCTCAACCATTTAATATTGCACTACCAGATTATTTACAATCCTTTTAAAAATTCTATAAATATATATGCTTTTTAAAAACCCTGAGAATTTACACTACCATATTTTTAGCATTTTGGAAGAAAATCAGGTAAGTCATGGTGTTTTTTCTTATATTTTAAAATTGGTATTGATGTCTTTCTACCCACCATTTTCTTAAAAAAACTCGGCAAAAAATTCTACTAGTCTTTTTAATACACTACCGAGTTTTTCAATTATATTGATTTTATATCTTGTTCTACTAAATATTTTGTGCGCTCTCTTTGATAAAAAATTAATAAAGATAATTCATGTATGACAAAAAATGATGGAGGTGTCAGATACAAGTATGAGAGTGGCAAACACAAATTTCTAAATAATCTCGACTTAAAAATCAATCAAATCGATCCCTACAATTTGCACCGATAAATTAACAAAGTGTTATAACCACTTCATTATATAAAGAGAGAACTCGTCAATTCTCAAATAATTCAAATTCAAATCATAATACTTCGAATCTCTTACCATAGAAATACAAATCATCACTATCTAGTATTTTAGTGTGTGTAATATGGGTTGAATTTCAATATTTAATTACAATAAATTGAACAACAGTATTCAACATATTTTTACATTTTAAAAATAAAATATGTTTACAAATAATAGGTTAATAACCTTAAATTATGGAGTAGTATTCAAAAACATACTAGTAAGCTATTATCACCCACGCTTATAAAAAAAACCATCCACAGCATCTTCATGATCATTGACTAAAAGTAAAGAAGTTCCACGTCATCGATCCGCGTATAAGCACACAAGCCAATAGCAGCGCGGGAACCTTCTCATATATAAATCACCGCAACGTTTGTTATCTACCAAACTCATTTCTTCTACCTCATTTTAGATCCAATTCCAAACCCTAAATATCAATTACTTCAATGGCGCCAAAGGGAGAGAAGAAGCCCGCGGAGAAAAAACCCGTAGAGGAGAAGAAGTCCACCATCGCAGAGAAAGCACCGGCAGAGAAGAAGCCGAAGGCCGGAAAGAAGCTACCTAAGGATGGTGGTGCCGCTGCGGGAGACAAGAAAAAGAAGAAAAGCAAGAAGAGCATAGAGACATACAAGATCTACATATTCAAAGTTCTGAAGCAAGTTCACCCTGACATTGGTATCTCAAGCAAGGCCATGGGTATCATGAACAGTTTCATCAACGACATTTTCGAGAAGCTTGCTGCTGAATCTTCAAGATTGGCAAGATACAACAAGAAGCCAACGATAACTTCAAGGGAAATTCAGACTGCTGTTAGGCTTGTTCTTCCTGGAGAATTGGCCAAACATGCCGTCTCTGAAGGAACCAAAGCTGTGACTAAGTTTACCAGTTCTTGAATGTTCCATTTATAGGGTTGCTTCTGAAGTGGCTTAGGATAAAGTTTATTTCTCTTGCTATCCATTAGATCTTAATTAGTCTGTAATTTTCTTTTAAAAATCAATTGATAATCTTGTCTATGAATCGATATATGTCCTTTTTTGTTAACTAGTGCTCAGTTTTATAGTGGGACCTCTAAGTGTTTGTGCCTAGCTATTTGTTAATTAATATTCATGACCTTAAAACAAACTATCGATCTGTGCACTTTGCTGAAGCTGTATATAAATTTGAAAACTGAGAACATTAATGTTGAACATGAAACAATCTTTATATTGAATCTCACTAGAATTATCTAATAGTGCCTAAGTTTTGTTATTTATTAGTTAAGTTATGTAATTGTCTATGTTAAGTTATGTTAATTGTAATGTGTTGAGTTATGTTATCCAACAATAATGAAAGTGATGAAGTGTTATCTAATAAATTGTATGATGCAAATGTTCGATTGTTAATACAAATAATATACAAATAATACAAAAATAAAAGTATGTCCTAGTTACTTTGAGCAAATGATGTCTTCACATCCATCTGCTCTAAATGTATGTCTCAGTTGGCTACCTAGACTAAAATTTTCCTGATAAAAGTATGTTTAATGACATGAGAGAATGTAATCTTGTACTCTACATGAAACTTCAGGTCTGTGGTCAATTTCAATATCAGAGCATAGTTCCTCTTGTGACTCGGGCACTACCTGCATATTGTTCACTGGTGTTTGTTGGAAGTTTCTCCTTCAGATGCTGGCACATATGGCAACTCACTGCTTCAATATTAACTTCTCATAAAAAACAACATATATTTTTATTACCATATATCTTTTTAATCATATCCCATAACTTAAATCCCTTCACACTCTTTACGTAACTGAGGAAGACAAACTTTTTCGACTTTGGACCAAGTTTGGTTCATCTTCACTAGATATATGCACATAAGTTAGAAACAAAAAAACAAAACAAATTGTCAAGATCAATAGGATTACTCTTCCATACCTCGTCTTCAACATTCCTCTCCAATGAAGCCTGTAATGACCTACGATAACATACCATGTTAATTACCTTTACCTAGAAACATTTTGATAGTCTAGAATTTAACAAGAGACATCTTGTCATTTCACTTATAGACCTATTCATTCTCTCTGACACACCATTTTTTTCGGTGTCTTACGAACTTAGGAAGGCCTTTGAATACCGTGTTCTTCATAAAACCTCTTGAAATTCAAATTTGTGTACTCTGCCCCATTATCTGATCGCAAATACTTGGTTTTTCTGCCAATTTGATTCTCTACCTTCTACAACTTGAATTTGGTAAAGACTTCAGATTTCAACTTCAAGTAATATAGTCAAACCTTTCGAGAAAAAATATCCATGAAAGTCACAAAATATCTGGAACCGGCCACAGAGACCTCTTTGGTAGGCCCCCACACACCTGAAGGCACATAACCCAAAAATTCCTTTGTTTTCTAATCTTGAATTGAACATGAAATTGTTTCCTAAGTACACAATACTTACACAAATCTACCTAACTACTATGAACATTGTTCAATAGATTTCTCTTATTAAATTCCATCGTCACACGCTCATTGAGATGACCAAGACTTATATGTTAGACTTTGGTTGCAACTATTACCAGACTCAGTTGATGCAACATCACCTACAATAATGTTTCTCAATAATTTATAGATTTAACCTCCAATCCTCTTTGCGCTTATCAAAGCCAATGCATCCTTGCTAACCTGTCAGAGAAATCATTTGCTTGTAGAATACCTAGGAAAATCAAATGTTCGCGCACCACCATGGTCTATGGAAACTTCACTTTGTCTCATTTCAATGATAATATATGCTTTATCACCACCCTAGATAAACAAGTCTAAAATCATCTGACCCGAATGTAGTGAACCATTCTCGATGCGATGTCATGTGGTAAGAACAATTAGGGTCAAGAATCATGCATTTGTGCACTTGCTAAATGAAAAACAATATATCTGTTTCATTGCCATAATCGTCAATTTCAACCACATTTACAGAACATGATGAACCATGTTTTCTGTTTGGACAGTCCCTCTTGTAATGCACAATTTATTTGCAAGTATAAAACTCAAATATTTTTTGATTCTTGGATTTAGACCTATTCTTTCTAGAAAATTCTTTATCCTTGTTCCGCCCACGATATTGACTCATTCTCACATACAAATTGTCGCCTGGAGTTCCTTCCTCTACACTGTCTCCTTTGAAAATGAAACAAAATGTTGCAATATTCACTTCAAGATTGATAAATGTTTTTCTTGTAGATAAGAGTAGTCATCAAGTGGTCATAAAACCTAGAAATGAGCACAACAAGATTATTTCCTTATCTTCGTCATTAATCTTCATCTGTAACACACAGGTGAATCACTTTTGTGGCCATTTCTTTCATCTCTGCTTAATCAGTACCATTCACGTCGGTTGATTTCATCTCACAAATGTTTTTGTAAATGTTGCAGAGTCAAAAAATCCTTAATCCTCCTTTTCCATTCTCCAAAATTACTTGTCTCGTCGAACCTTCATGTCTCAAATTTCCCACCATAGGTAATCGTCATTTGATACCATTTTTTGAAACATCAACCAATATGGAAGATTAAACAGAAACGAAAATAAAAGACAATGAATGCAACTGATCTTTGTTAATACAGTTCAGCTAATGGTGTCTACTTTTACGACTCTATGGAAACTATAGTTCCTTTTAATTTGGTTTAATTATTAAGGTTATGTCACAAGCAATATATAGAATACTACAACTCAATTTACAATTTTATTCCTGAATTATATCGCAGAGGCTATTGCCCGTGCAACCTCTGTTCATATATCAACATAGCGGAACATGATTCTCTAACGCTCGCGTGGGTACGTTAGAGTAACTTTCGTCAACTTTCTACCCTTAGATTTAATTAGTGTATTGCATGTTAACACGTGGCAAATTTATTTTGACAAACAAAATAAAAACTAAAGTGTTGAAGAAGAAACAACATTCCACTTTTTGTAAGCTCTATTTCCAGTTTCCAAACAACAAAGTAACTATGTCTTCTTCTTTTCATATTGATCTTCATTGTCACCATCAACATCGTCGGTGAGTACCACCATTGCCACCACACTCACTGTTGATTATTGTCATCACTGTCAATCACTATCATCGTCAACACCACCACACTCATTATTGATCGTCGTTGCCATTAATCGTAATTATTTCCATCATCATCATCGTCAACACCGCCATACTCATTGCTGATCATCGTTGTTGTTGTCAATCACTCACCGTTTTCGTCACCACATTCATTATTGATCGTCGTCACCGTTAATCATCGTCATTTCCGCACTTTGCTTTCCCATACTCTTATTAAGGTTGTTCTATTTTATATATTGTTTCAAATAGCTAGCTTTGTTTGTTGCAGTAGTTCTCTCTTTTGTGTAATCTATTTTTTTCTTCAAGGAAGTCAGGTAGTTGTTCCATTGTTTTTCTTGTGTTTAGACTCTGTTTTCATAATTAGAAATTAGAAACTAAGAAGCTAGATTATGGTATATATACTGTTACAAATATAATTGAATAATATGTTTATAAATTATTTTATTCTTTTATCATGTTTCTTTATTTAGAAAAATGACATTTTCAAATATTAATTGGAAACCAATGCTTGGCAGGGAATTTGATTCATCTCCTCTTATCAATTTTGGCTTACTTATAGTACAAATATGGGCTTTGGTGTTAGAAAGCGTTTCGTGAACAAGAATAAAAAAGATGGATCTATATCACCGTGTAGGTTTGTTTGCTGCAAGGAAGGACTACAAAAGGCAGACAAGAGAGATACTTTTGTTAGAAACCATAGAGTCGAAACTAGAACGGATTGCAAAGCAAGATTTCTATTATATTGAAGAATGAAAAGTTTGTCATCCATGAATTTGTATCTGATCATAATTACCATTTGCATCTATCAGAGACAACACACGTGCTAGCATCACATAGAAAGATAATTGAAGTTCAAGCATATGAAATTGATTTAGCTGATGACTCGGGATTAAGATAGAAGTCAACTTTTCAACTTATGAGCACACATGCAGGGCATAGTTCTAATCTTGGATATATACGCGTTGATATAGAAAACTATCTCAATGCAAGAAGGCAGAGAAGTATGGTGTATGGTGATGCTGGATGTCTTTCCCAATACTTTTAACGAAAATTGTTAGAAAATCTACCGTTCTTCCGTGCATACCAAATGGATAGAGAAGAACAAATCATAAATGTGTTTTGAATTGATGCATATATGGTTTTAGACTATACGGGTTTTTTGGTGACGTTGTGTCATTGAACACAACATATTATACCAATTATGCCAATAAACCACTTGCTCTATTTTCAGGTTTTAACCACTATAGAGGTTCCGTCATTTTTGGTGCAACATTATTATATGATGAGACGATCGAGTCCTTTAAATGGTTGTTTGATACATTTTTACAAGCACATAACAACAAAAAACCAAAGACTGTTTTTACTGACCAAGATCAGGCGATGTCAAGAGCACTTGTTGAAGTGATGCCTGAGTCTCATCACGGTTTATGTACCTGGTACTTGTTGCAAAACAAAATAAAACACCTTGGTAACTTGATGAAGGGTGGAAGTTATTTTTTAAGAGATTTCAAGAAATGCATGTATGAATTTGATTGTGAAGCTGAATTTGAGGCGGCTTGGAATGATTTGGTGAATAATTATAACGCTCATGAAAACAATTGGATCAAATCAGTTTATGTTATTAAAAGAAAATGGACTTCATGCTATATGAAGAAAACATTCACACTTGGCATGCGAAGTACTCAAGTTAGAGAAAGTCTTAATGCCCTCTTCAAATCTTGTATGAAACCGAATGTGGATATCGTATAATTTTTCAAACACTTTGAGTGAGTTCTCGAGGAGAAGAGAGGAAATGAGTTAAGTTGTGATT